CCTCCTCTTTCTTCTTCTCCTCCTCCTCCTCCTCCTTCTTCCTTCCTTCTTCTTCTTCTCCTCCTCCTCTTCCTCCTCCTCCCCCTCCTCCCCCTCCCCCTACTCCTCCTCCTCCTCCTCCTAGGATGATGCACGTCTACTCTTTGTCCTTGCTGGAGCAGCAGAAGAAGGTTTTATGACGGGAGAACTTGCTGGGGTGATCAAAAGACTGTGGAAAGATCTTGGTGTTCACGCCTGTTTCAACCGATCAGAGAGTATCTTCTTCTGCTTCTTCTGCTTCTGCTTCTTCTTTTTTTAAAGGCTGCAGTTTGCAAGCCTCCCCGCAGCTGCTCAGCCTCTCTTGGGTGGATTTTTTTTTTTTCCTTCTTATTGCACCCTCCTCCTCCTCTTCCTCCTCCTCCTTCTTCTCCTCCTCCTCCCCTCCGACTTTCCTCCCCGAAGTGCTGAAATATTTTTCCAAGGAACCCCGGGACTCTTTCATTCCTTCCCCCTTCGGACGTTTGGATCCTTTTGCAAAGCTTGGGACCGCGGGTCGACCCCCCCCCCGCCCCCGGGGAGCCCTCTCTCTTCCCCTCTTGGGGGGGACTTTGGGGGGCTCAGTTTCCCTTCCACCCTTTCCCGGCCTCCCCCCTTAGCTAAGTCTCTTCTCCCCCTCTTCTTGCTGGTCTTTCCTTCCCCACCCCCACCCCTCCCCAAAAAATAACACACCCCCCCCCGCGATGGGCTGCACTCTAAGCGCGGAGGACAAGGCGGCGGCCGAGCGTAGCAAGATGATCGACAGAAATCTGCGAGAAGACGGAGAGAAAGCGGCCCGGGAAGTCAAGCTCCTACTTCTGGGTAAGGAGATACTCCTAGGAGGGGTGTCTTACACCCTCTCCCCGGAGGCCGGCCGGGTGTCCAGTGTCAAGGGATCCTCTGCGTTGTGTTGTAGATTTACCCACGTAGTCTGGCTGTAGGATGATTATTCGTGTGCAGACTGGCTGTAGGATGATTCTGTATATTTCTTATCTTCTTTACTGCCCCCTCTTATTGGTGTTATTGTGATGATCGTTAATAATCATGTAACAATCAGAAACAAATTTCTTGTGTGTTTGATCACGCTTGGCCAATAAAGAAATTCTATTCTATTCTATTCTATTCTATTCTATTCTATTCTATTCTATTCTATTCCGTTCCATATTCTATTCTGTTCTGTTCTGTTCTATTCTATTCTCAATAGATCCTATCCTATCCCATCCCATCCCATCCCATCCCATCTTATCCCATCTCATTTCATCCCATCCCATCCTGCATTCTATTCTGTTCTGTTCTGTTCTGTTTTCTACTCTATTCTACTTCTCTCCTATATTCTAATTCTTATTTTATTCTACTCTACTGTACTCTACTCCTATTCTATATTCTATTCTATTCTATTCTATTCTATTCTATTCTATTCTATTCTATTCTATTCTATTCTATTCTATTCTATTCTCAATAGATCCTATCCTATCCTATCCCATCCCATTTTATCCCATTCCATCTTATCCCATCCCATCCCATCCCATCCTGCATTCTATTCTATTCTATTCTATTCTATTCTATTCTATTCTATTCTATTCTATTCTATTCTATTCCATTCCATTCCATTCCATTCCATTCCATTCCATTCCATTCTATTCTCTTGTAAAATGGGGCAAAACTCAGTTACAAATGTTTCACTTAGCAACATAAGGTTTTGGGCTCAGCTGTGGTCATAACCTGAGGACTTGCTTGTACCTGGAAGGCTGATGGTGGGATGGAAATGAATACCGAAATAGAACGTCTCCATTCAAAAATAATAATTCCCATTCAAAGTGTATTCCCTAACTTTTATGGATTTGTATTATGTATGTGTGTGAGAGAGAGAGACACACAGAGAGAGAGAGAGAGAGAGAGAGAGAGAGAGAGAGAGAGAGAGAGAGAGGGAGAGAGAGAGAGAGAGAGAGGGAGAGGACAGACAGACAGACAGACAGGCAGATAAGTGACAGAGAGAGGACAATGGAACTGCTTGCCACCTGGAGTTGTGGGTGCTCCATTGCTGGAGGTTTTCAAGAAAATATTGAGCCATCATTTATCTGGGATGGCATGAAGACTTCTGCCTTGGGCCAGGGGGTTGGACTAGAAGCCCTCCAAGGTCCCTTCCTATCCTAGAATTCTATAGAGAGGGAAAGAGGGAGCATTCCTCGAACATCTGGAAAGCAGCTGATGTGGAATGCCAGTATTAGTAGCTTTTCTCCTCCATCTCCTCCCCCGTCCCCCAATCATTCATATGTTTTCCATTTCCTCCCTTCCTTTCCATCTTTTTTGATCCATTTCGCCTGCCTTTCCTAAGTTTGGGCTTGTGGAATTCTGGGAGTTGTAGTCTTAGCACTAATAGGAAGCACAAGGTAGGAAATGCTAACTCAATTATTGCTTATAAAATCAAATGGCATGCAGCCAGCTGTTAGTCGTTCACATTACCGGATATCTATTTTTCCAAGGTAATATATATATTTTCCCCCTTTATGCCAAGGCCTCTTCCCTCTAACAGCAGGAAAATCCAGAGAATATGTGCTTTCTTAAAAGACTTTGTTATGGCTTTGCCGTAACCAACACACGTACTTCCTTTCAAAGCTTCCACAACACAGTGTTATTCTATTGTTGTGTTCTGTTGTGTGTAAACAATACGATGACTTCACAGGGAAACATTTCCTTTTATTCTAAAGAAAACACCTGCCCTTCAAAATCAAAATGACTAAATAACTTTCAGGCTGTTGACTGCAAATCTGCTTCCTCAAAAAATAAGTTTTACTGAATTCTATGGGAGGGAGAACTTAATAATAATAATAAAGTTGGAAGGGACCTTGGAGGTCATCTAGTCCAACCCCCTGCTGAGGCAGGAAACCCTATACCATTTCAGACAAATGGCTGTCCAGTCTCTTCTTAAAAACTTCCAGTGTTGGAGCATTCACCGCTTCTGGAGGCAGGTTGTTCCACTGGTTAATTGTTCTAACTGTCAGGAAGTTTCTCCTTAGTTCTAGGTTGCTTCTCCCCTGGATTAGTTTCCACCCGTTGCTTCTTGTCCTGCCTTCAGGCGCTTTGGAGAATAGCTTGACTCCCTCTTCTTTGGGGCAGCCCCTGGGATATTGGAAGACTGCTATCATGTCCCCCCTCGTCCTCATAGCTCAATCACTTGTACTATAGAAACTGTTGGTTATGTGTATTTTTCTAGGCTGATGCTTGTATTATAGAAGCGTTTCCAAATGGAAATCCAATTCTTTTTATTGTTTCTGTAAAGCTGAACTATGTCCATGGGGAAACAAAAATCAGAAAGGGCTATGTATTATGAAGAGTTTTTGTATATTAATCAGCAAAGTTGTTGTTGTTGTTGTTATTATTATTATTATTATTATTACTAAAGACCTAATCTATATAAATAAAAATGTAAATGTTCATTTGTTCAAAATCTTAAATCTCCGAAGGTTCTTTACCGATTGCTTTGAAATTTTGACACAACGTTGCATTCGAATACGCGCGTGTTTTTATATACCTATATTATATAGATGTCACACCTGTGACAGGTAAAACATGCTTTTTTGAAAAACAGCGCCATCTGTTGGACGTAAAAGCAACACACGCCAGACTGAGCCACCGCAACGCGTGGCCGGGTACAGCTAGTTCACAATAATATTATGGTGGAAAGTATCTTCAGTATTATTTTCTATTTTAAATGAGTTTTTTTCCCCTCTATCTTTTTGCTGATCCATCTGAAAGAATTGGGGAGTACAGTTTACATACTGTGTGGCAAATAATATTTAGATTTCATGTGGTTTAATAAAGTACATCATACACGTCTTCCTTAAATGTCCGTCAAAGGCTAATTTTGAGCATCATTCAAAACGTCTGTAAATCTTACTTTGGTTAGTTTGAGTAAGCCTGTTTCCTTTTTTGTTTTTTTGGTTTTGTTTTGTTTTGAAATAAAAAGTAATCAAATTGTAATATAATTTTTGTTAATTATGTCTTTTAAATCAAATAGTTTGTTCCAAAGTTTAATAACAAGACACCCTACAAAGTTTCTCAGAAATGAAACTTTTGTCATTCTTTAAGACTTACTACTAATGGGAGAGCCACTTATTTGGCAGAATGAATTTACAAGCTATAACATTTTGGTTTGCAAAAGTCACAAAATATTGTTTAGACTTTAGATATAAACCTAGCACAATGTTATGTCACAACTTTGGACTAAATTACAGTACATCTGGTTTACTTTGGCCACGTCATGCATGTAAATTCATTGGAGAAGTCTGAATTCATTATTTGTCTGAAATGGTATAGGTTTCCTGCCTGAGCAGGGGATTGGACTAGATGACCTCTAAGGTCCCTTCCAACTTTATGATGATGATGATGATGGTGGTGGTGGTGATAAGTCCATGATGTTAGGAATGGTTAGTGGAAAAAGAAAAAAGGGTACGCAAAGAACATGTTGGCTTGCTAACATCAAATCTGATGCAAGGTTGAACATATGACAATTGAAAGAAGCTGTGATTGACAGAGTAGCGTGGCGAGCACTTGCCTATAAAATCACCAAGAGTCGACACGAATCAATGGTTAAAAATAACAAGAATAAAGTTATATGTATTTAATTCATTAGACTGTGGTTTACTTAGTACAGGAGTGTCAAACTCAATTTCATTGAGGGCCGCATCAGCATTGCGGTTGCCCTTGGGGGGTGTGTGGCCAGGGTGGGTGCGGCCTACTGGGTGGGCGTGGATGGAGTGGGTGTGGCCTACTGGGTGGGCATGGCCAGCTCGACATCGTTCGCGTCAAGGGGGCCTGTGGGGGCCTGGGCAGGAGTGGGACAGATCTGAGGGTCTCTGGCAGAAGGGGGTGGGACTGGGGCAAGCGCCAAGGCATGGTCCATTTCTTCATTCCTCACAAAGGGTGACACCTCCCCAGCATGCACCCAGGGGGTGGGGCCGACGCGGCAGGGGCTGGTTCCTCGCTGTTTCTAGATTGCCTTGTGGAGCTAAGACTGAATGCGCTTCAGCATAGATGGCCACTGCAAAATTGTACATTGGTTCCCGGCCGGCCTGGGCCAGGGCCAAGGCAGCGGGGGCCGTTCCCTCACTGTTTCCAGGATGGCTTCGCAGGCCACATGAAACCACTTCGCGGGCCGCATCCGGCCCCCGGGCCTTGTGTTTGACATGTCTGACAGTAGATCAACAACTTGTGTAGCTTTTCCCTAGAGAAGGTGCAACAGATGACTCATTCCTGCATTTTTTGTTTCAAAGAAGAAAACCCATCAATTTGCAATGCAGTTTTGACTGGGATTGAACTAAATATATAAATGTAAATGAGGCAGAGGCAGTTAAGAGGCACAGTGGTGAGAATGCGGTATTGCAGGCTGACTCTGCCCACTGCCAGCAGTTCGATCCTGACCGGCTCAAGGTTGACTCAGCCTTCTGTCTTTCTGAGGTCGGTAAAATGAGCACCTAGATTGTTGGGGGCAAGATGGTGACTCTGTAAACCGCTTAGAGAGGGCTGTAAAGCACTATGAAGTGGCATATAAGTCTAAGTGCTATTGCTATCTAAGCCATGGTGGTGCAGTGGTTAGAATGCAGTATTGCAGGCAGACTCTGCCCACTGCCAGGAGTTTGATCCTGGCCAGCTTTAGGTTGACTCGGCCTTCCATCCTTCCGAGGTCAGTAAAATAAAGACCCAGATTGTCGGGGGCAAGAGGCTGACCGCCTAGAGAGGGCTGTAAAGGACTGTGAAGCGGTATATAAATCTAAGGGCTATTGCTATTATGTTCTGTACTCTGTGAGTCATGCCCTCATATAACAGTGAAGACAAAGTTTGTGTTTAAAATAGTATATATCAAGGCTGTTTCAGCAATCTGATTTAAATGGATAGCTCCTTGTTTTGGTGATCATTAAACAGTTGAAAGCAAGCTTAGACTGGTATGAATCATCCAATAGTTTATCTGATCTTAGTATGTCATTGGTCTACCTCTTAAATATTTTATAGTGTATTTTACCTATATATTTAGATAATTATGGGTGAGTGGTATGTGGAGCTTGTTTTCCTAGAGGTATAAAATTCTATTAAGAATCTGATTATATGAATAAATATGAAAGCATATATAAGATATATTCAGGAGTATGTGTCTGTCCCCTATATTAGCTGTGCCCAAAGAGGGATTAGATTATGTTTCAATCTTAAATTGAAACATAAATCAGAGAATGCTTATTTGGGTTGTGTGTTTTTCCTAGAGGTTTTCCATCTCTAGGAAAACAAACTCCGCATGTTTCCCCATACCTGCCTAAATATTTAGATGAAATGGGATATGCTCTGTTCATAAATATAATGGTTATACATTTAAGAGGTTATATATTTAACTAATGGCATATTGAGATCAAATAGACCGTCGGTTGATTCTAAACATCTTTAAAACAACAGATCTTATACAGACATTTTTTTTCTGAGCTGCAACATTAATGCAATCTTTAGGCATTTATCTCTATCCGATAAAAAAAATAGAATAGAATACTCTTTAGAATAGAATATTCTTTATTGCCCAAGTGTGATTGGACACACAAGGAATTTGTCTCCAGTGTATAAGCTCTCAGTGTTAATTTAATTTAATTTAATTTAATTTAATTTAATAATTTAATTTAATTTAATTTAATTTAATAATTTAATTTAATTTAATTTAATTTAATTTAATTTAATTTAATTTAATTTTTAATTCTGCATTAAATATTTATTTTTGGTCTTCAGACTTCTGAAAAGTAGAAATAGACTTCTCTTAGCTGGAACTATATTCTCGCTTCCAAACAGCAAAGTCAGTAATTCAAATTGCAAAGAAAGTGTTGGGAGAAATCGAGGCAAATCCTTCAGATATTTTTTTCCCAGTTGGCTGAATAGCTTACCCTATGTAAGATAAGTATAGATCTTGATTTAACGAAGGAAGAGTAGAGTACGATTGATGTTCACCAAACCAATCTAGCTTATCTAAGTAAGGAAGAATAAGTGAGTTATAAAAATGTCAAGAGATTCCAGGAAGAAATTGGAATACGTGTTGGAGAACCGTGATCCTCATATTTGGTATTAATATAGAATATGGGCCAGAAAATTTGATCCACATTCTAAGATGGTAACTATCAGGGTTTAGAGAAGCAGTGAAGCAGTAAAGGGCTGTTAGATAAGGAATGTAATTTTCTGCTGCTTAAAAATATGTGAATGGTTGTGCCTACAAAGGGGGAAGTGGTGTGATGGATTAGAGGCAATTTCCTGAGAAGGATAGAGCATATTTCAAGGATGGAGAGCAGACAAGATTCAGTACAGCCTGGAGCTGGACCGGAGACAGAAGATGAGATTTAGGATAGCCACTCACTAGAATCTCCCAGAATGATTATTAATGATAAACTCAGCAAAGCATCTTTTTACTTACTATTGCATATTTTAACCGCAGCAAGGTTGGCATACGCTCAAAAATGGAAAGGAAAGGAAACCCCCACTGAGGAAGAAATAATAAATAAAATTTTATCCTGCGTCGAAATGGACAGGTTAACTCTAGAGATGAAAAATAAAACTGAAACAGAGTATTATGAAATTTGGGAAAATTTGTACGATTGGTTAGAGCAGTGGTTCTCAACCTTTTTAATGCCGCGACCCCCAACCGGTCGTAAGTCAAGGACTAAACCGGTCGTAAGTCGAGGACTAAACTGGTCATAAGTCGAGGACTAAACCGGTCGTAAGTCGAGGACTACCCAACCGGTCGTAAGTCGAGGACTTTCCCTGCCTGGGAGCGCCACGCATGCGTGGTTCCGCCCCCTGCGCTGGCCGAGGCGTAGCTGGCAAGCGGTAGAGACGGAGCAGGCCGACCACCAGCTGGCCCAGCTCAAGGGAGGTAAGGCACCCGCCGGAAAAGGGGAAAAAAATGGCGGACAGCCTTGCTTGGCGACCCCCGTGAGATGGTCGATCGACCCCAAATGGGGTCGCGACCCATAGGTTGAGAACCGCTGGGTTAGAGATAAGGAGGATCGCTGAGACGGTTATCGATTGACTAGTTGATATCATATTCTCCAAAGCGCCTGAAGGCAGGACAAGAAGCAACGGGTGGAAACTGATCAAGGAGAGAAGCAACTTAGAACTAAGGAGAAACTTCCTGACAGTTAGAACAATTAACCAATGGAACAACCTGCCTCCAGAAGTGGTGAATGCTCCAACACTGGAAGTTTTTAAGAAGAGACTGGACAGCCGTTTGTCCGAAATGGTGTAGGGTTCCTGCCTGGGCAGGGGGTTGGACTCGATGACCTCCAAGGTCCCTTCCAACTTTATTATTATTATTATTATTATTATTATTATTATTATTATTATTATTATTATTATTATTATTATTATTATTATAAGGACTTTTTATTAGTACTTACATTAGGGCACAACTGAAAGATATGTAAATATAATGTTGACGATTGAAAGATGGTTTATCAAAAATTCTACAGATGTTATACGTGCAGTTTGTTATACTTTGTCCTGTTAAAGAATATATTTTAAGTTTCTGTTTTTCTTTCTGTAACATAAGGTACTACTAATAGCACTGTTGAAGCCAGAGAAGTTGAAGCATGTCCATTTTTGTTTTTAAAATGTACATGTAATAAAATTTTGTATTAAAAAAAAATATCTCCCAGGATAAATCCATTAGGATAGCATAGTTTAGCCTGGCAAGATTCTGTCTACTGCACATAAGCAAACAAAGAAATGAACTTCGGCTGGATTGTTCTATGTCAGTGTTTCTCAACCTTGACAATTTTAAGGCATGTGGACTTCAACTCCCAGAATTCCACAGCCAGCATTGCTGACTGTGGAATTCTGGGAGTTGAAGTCCACATGCCTTAAAATTGTCAAGGTTGAGAAACACTGTTCTATGTCATTTGGGGGCTGGGGCTGACAATATTCTTTGTTTTTTATCAGAACAGAGATCGCACGATAGTTTATTAGAGATGCAAGCACGCTGCTGAAATTTCGTGGCAAAATTCTGAAAGCTAAACTATGCATTTTCACAGTTTATTTTACGTAGTTTTCATATTTAAGCCATAGATCATCAGAGAAAGAAAAGAATCTTGCTCTGTAGATAGAGGGAAAACCTGGAAGAGGTGAAAAAAAAAGTCTCTATATCTCGATCATCCAGGTCATGGTTGTCCCAAAAGGTGCTTTTCCAAAAAACAATTGGACTTTCTTGGTTTTTCCTTGGAAAAGTTTCACTTCTCATTCAAGATGCTTCTGAAGAACTTCTTCTGAAGAATTTCTGAAGTTCTTCAGAAGAAAACTCAATTGCCTTTTGGAACAACACCTCTGCCATTTCCTTTGACACTAGCCAATACACACCTCTGCCTAGGTCTGCAAAATCAGTCAGACAATCAATCAATCAATCAATCAATCAACCAATCATATAGCTCACAGTCATAAATTTGTACCTGTCCCTTAAAAAATGGAATTTTGTTCACGGTAAGAGCCAGGTCAATGAAGTCTGGCTATTAAATATACAACTGAACTTGACCTCTGGACTTACAAGATTGATGTCAAAGAGGAAATATGATCAGATGAGCTAATTCTACTATATTTCTTTATTTAGAATATTTCCATTAAATATCTCATTGTGTCCTTCTGGGTTTTTTTTTAGGAGCCGGTGAATCAGGAAAAAGCACAATTGTCAAACAAATGAAGTAAGTATTGCCTAAGCATGAGGATATAAACTTAGTAAAGTCAGGAAATGATGTCATTAAACTAAAGGATGTTTTTATTTTTCCTGAATCAGAATTATCCATGAAGCTGGATATTCAGAAGAAGAATGTAAACAATATAAGGCAGTTGTCTACAGTAATACGATTCAGTCCATTATTGCTATCATAAGAGCTATGGGGAGACTGAAAATAGATTTTGGAGATTCAGCCAGGGCTGTAAGTATTAACTTTTTTAATATTCCCTTTAAATACTGTTCTTAATTCTGAAATTAAGAATTCAGAAATTCAGGAACATTGTAGCTGTCACTTCCTTTTCTCCTAAAAATCACTTCCCACTAAGAAAGTATAAAACTACAGTGAAAACCTCCAGAGGTAGCAATTCCTACAAAATGAATGAGGGTTTTTTATCTTCTTCTTCTTCTTCTTCTTCTTCTTCTTCTTCTTCTTCTTCTTCTTCTTCTTCTTCTTCTTCTTCTTCTTCTTCTTCTTCTTCTTCTTCTTCTTCTTCTTCTTCTTCTTCTTCTTCTTCTTCTTCTTCTTCTTCTTCTTCTTCTTCTCCTTCTTCTTCTTCTTCTTCTTCTTCTTCTTCTTCTTCTTCTTCTTCTT